TCAATGGATTCGATTCATGTTTAAATATGTTAATCCGAGAATCGCGATTAAAGAGAGAACGTAGACCCAACTATAAAGTAATATGTTGATAGGTTAAATATACATATTTAATGAGAACTATACATTTGATGGAAACAAAAACATTTTTATAAAAAAAAAAAATTGGAAAAGTTCAACATAAAAGTATCATAATATGGACTCTTAGCCACTGTGGGATTAGAGGGGGATACAACTTAAAGCAATAGTGGCAGAGTAGCACGAATCGTAGCTTTCAACTATTATTTAGGTATCAATGTTTATATCCTGTATATACGTCCGATTTCATGTGACTGCACCAAAAATCCTAGGATTGTGCGATTTATTAGAAAAGTTGCATGGAATGTTGCGTTTTGTACGGATGAAATATATATATATTGCTCCCGTATAAATGTTCTAAATTGTGTACCAATGTCTCTAAAAATTATAAATTTGGTGTAGCCAACCATATAACGGTACTCACCAAAACTCGGTATTTTGGGGATTTCAACACGTCTTTCAACTGAATTGGCTGTAATTTGGTATTTTGGGTTCTCATAGCATATCATATTTCAGTATCAAATATTATTAACACTGACCCAAGTTTCAGGGTAGCAGGGGATTTTGGACACGTTTTCCAACCGAAATTGCTGTTATTTGATATTTTAGTTTCTATAAGAATAACATATGTCCATACCAAAAATGACCCAATATTGACCCAAGTTTCAGGGTAGCCCTCATCCGGTACCACACAATTCAAAGTCGGGTAATGTGGACCACTATAAAAAACGGAACATTTTCATGGGGATAAGTTCCAATCTTGGTCCCATATTAAAAACATTTCAATGAGGAGGTGTTCTATCCTCTGAAAACTCGATATGCGAAATTACAGCTGCTTCGGTTGGATATTGAAGCTAGGATCATCAAAATACCGCAAATGGGGGCTATTTTAAAAAATATATGGGTTCATACCCATATATTTTTACATTCATTGTTATCCAATATTGAAATAAATAAAAATTGATGACAACCAATGCACAACCTACCTTTTAACTTACTGGTCCACATTACCCGCACATACTGGTCCACATTTCCCGCCATGTTGTTTTAATTCGCAGTTATGAGTTTTTTTAAATATAATGAAATAAAATTTTTATAGTCAAATATTTATAATGTTTGACCTGGAATATATTTAGACGGCAAATCTACTATGTCGTGAAAACAATTTGTTTACATTTTTTACCGTTGGTATACCCACAATATCAAAAAAAGAAAATGGTGGTCCACATTATCCGAAGTTACACTACCTTGTGGGGGTGAGAAGCTTCATTGCAAATAAATGTCATCATCCTATGGTGTAATTTTTTGGAAACCTTTGCCATCAAAAGAAACTGGAATTTAGAATTTCTGTTCGTCAGTAGTTTCAAAGTACGTACGTGGAAAACGTAGTTCGCATCTATTCTACAATACATCGCAGGTTGTAGTCACACTTCCCAACCTCATTCGTTGTAGCATAATTCGAACCTTCATTACACATAGCTGTCAGTATACCTCTGGTGGAGGGTATCACATGTTCGGCGCGGCCTTTCTCATTTCCCTTGTTTATTTTTAAGCCGAATTATTATTTGTATACGACACGAAATGATTTTCGCGCTAATTGAATGTGTTTTTTTTTTAGTTTTGCCTTTAGAAATTGTTTACAAATTGGCGTACATATTATGGTATTCCCTTTCCATGTTTCTTATGAAATTATATATGGGATTCCCCTATGGTTTGTTGTTATAAAACAACAAAAGTTGGCATTTCTTTCAACAATATTGATATTTAAAAGAATACCACATGCCATTGTCTGATTCTGCGAAAATAAGACCAATATTTTACAATTTGAATGACTAAAACCTAAATATTTCACAAATAAATTATAGATAAGGGCTATTATGCATTTAGAATGTCATTTTAAATTGAATAGGAATAATTTTTCAGAACCCACACAATAAGGTGGATCATGTATAACTTTTGTTATTTAGGCATGTTCATCTGTCTATTGAAATTTCGATAGAGTTCGTGCCAATGTATTGTCATTTTTAAATTTTTTTAGATTGTCATGTTTAAATTTGTCTTTTAAAGAATGTCTATATGCAAAATAACTACTTACTTGTTGTAATATTGGAATCATATCGTCTTCAAATTCAATATTAAATTTCGGTATTTTTACAATAACTTGTCGCCGCTCCAAACGATATGAAATCAATTTCAAAGTTATATCCGATAGACGTCTTTCGACCTCGGTCAAACCTTCAATATTCTTTGGCAATATTATCATCATAGTGAAGTCATCAAGTTTATAAGGTAATTCCAAAACTGTGGCTCCTAGTTGCTCAAAATCACCATAACGGAATATATCCTCCATGTACATGGTCTCAACTTCTATCTGTGTTCGAGCGTTCAGAAAAAATGGACGCATCGCTGTATCGTACACCGCAAACTTATTGTCCCATTCGCTTTTGAAGTAAACAGTGTTAACTAACAGCGCCATGGTGTTCGCTCTAAACGTATCCGAGGTAACAATGTTCTCGATGAGATGGTGTGTTTTATCTGCAACCCAAGAATTAATTTTGTCGGCTGCCTTCGAGGGCATTAGAAAGTCGACAGATTCCAGATCAGTGGCGTAGATACGTTGAGCCTCATTTCGAACATTTCGGCGCAGAAAACCATAGCGTTCATCATAGTAGAGTTTATTGCCCAGAATGATTGTGTTCGAATCGTTTGTGTCCGTAGGTAACTTGGTTAACTTTTGGTAGGTTTGAGCCACCAATGTTTGATTTGTGGGCAAATTCAAAAGTTGTATAAGTTCGTCATACAGCTTGCCTTCGGCGACGGTCGAAAGAAATGTTAACAACACCTGTACAGAGAGTGGGGAAATACACAGATTTTTGCCCCTTGCCGGATTTGCCATAAACTGATACAGCTTGACGTCAAAACGCTCCGATGGTATTTTGACATTTTGCATTTCATCGGGAAAATGTATGCGTACAGGGGCAGGGGTTGTGCTCGTTGCCCGTATGGGTTTTTTGTCTTCTCTATCTTTTTGCTTATTGTTATCAAAGGAATTTAAGCGTTCAATGCATTCTGGGGAACTACACTGAGCAGCAGCCAAGTGAAGACATGTCATCACAATTAGAGCTAAAAACGAAAACAACCACAAACAATTATTAGATGAATGTAGGTATATGTACGAGTATATTCACTTGTAAATTTTATAATTGTTTTTTTTTTTTGCAAAATACAAAAATTTCTTACAAAATATCCATGCTTTACAAACGCCAGAATTGCATTTCTTTTTCAGGCTGTATATTGCCATTTTGTGTTTATTTGCGATTTTCTCGACTCGCGTTACTTTCAAAACCGGATTGTTGCCGTACTCTTTATCGTATGTATACAGACTGACTGAAGTTTCATTGAATATTCCAATTTTATAACGTCATTGCATGGCAAATATTCTCGTTATCATCTGAGTTCTCTTGGGGTTTTTTGACATAAGAGATTCACATTGCTGTGAGTATAGTCGTTCTTTAGTCTAGATGCAAGCAGTGATTCTCTTTCAAGTCAGGCGTTTTCAACACGATGGAAAATGGTTGGGGGTTTTCTTGGTGACACATAACATTATGTGCAATTCCTGGAGTAACTTATTAATTATTTGTAAAAAGTATGAATTTTGAATATTTATATATGTATGTTATTATATCTCAAATTTCCAAATATTAGAAACAATAATATTGGTTTAAAAGCGTTAAATATTGAGGAAGCGGATGTGAATGCATGTTATTGCAATTTATGCAAAAATAATGAAAATGCGTATATAGAGAATCTACCTAACCCAAAAAGGCTACAGAAACAATTTTTTCCATTCTCTTCAGACATAAAATCAAACTGGAAACGATTGCAGTAACCTGTAAGAAAGGATCAAAATCGGGGTAGATCGAATTTTCTAACTTGGGCATGGGAACAATATCTGCACCCATCTGAAGGAAACAAATTATCTTCTTTACTGGAGTTTTTGTCAATTATTGAAATGAACTAGGATATTCCTTCGCGAAATCGAACAAAAGTTTATATGGGACCTATATGCAAATTCAACTGATTTGGAGCACGTAGCACAATTTGGAAGAAATCGTTTGAAATTTATATATAATATATACATTTTTATACCAACTGATTGTCCTGTGCAATATTTTCTGGCAAACGGATAGATTTAGAAATGTAAATTAATCTGAACGAATTTTTGACAAACTCGATAGGGTTCATCCGAATTCCTTGTTCCAAATTTCAAAAAAGTGGTGTTAGTTGCTTTACAACAAGTAATATCGTTAAGTTTGGGCAGACCGAACATTTAGTAGAAAACGAAATACCAAACTACAGACAGTCAGTTTATGCTAGAGCCTTGAACAAACGAGATGGAAATAGGATATATGGAAAGACCTTATATGGGGGATACATTAAATTAATTACCAATATTTATTGCTTTTGGTAGTAATACTTTCTACCCAGCTAAACAAATTTGGTTAATTTGTTTGAAATGCCTGTCCAAAATCTCAATAATTCTAAATAAGTGTGGGTACCGTTAAATGGAGGCTACCCTAACTTGGATCTGTATAGTCTATATTTGCACGAAATGCATGTTAAATTGAAATACTAAGGTAAGCAATGCGTGGACCATATATGATTCTCTTAAAATGATTCTTATCTTTTTTAAGAAGGTACCAAAAATAATAAACCGATAAATTCACTTTTCGCATGTGACCTATATTTGGCCACAAGTTGTGGTGAAACAGTGGCGGATATACATTGGTGACCAAAAATAAATCAACTGAAATTGCAAAATGAATAAATGGCCTGAACATTTTTTAAAAATAAAGTTAAAGAAATAAATAAACTCAAAATTTATTTTGAAATAAAAAATATTCTATGGAAAATTAAATTGGCCCAATTGTTGCTTGGTCAAAACTAAACCAACTTTTTATTTTTTCTTTTCTTTAGCAACTTTTGCTAGAAATCGACAGCATGACCATTATTTTTCATTACGGCAGCACCTACGAGGCATTACATCAATAAAATGCTCAATTTGATCCTAGGGTATACTATTCCTTGCTTCCTGAACCTGTGGGAAGAGGCTAATTCTGTTTGTTTGTGAAACTCTTTTGATTTTGAAATCCATGATAATCCAAACATTTTTCTATAGGGCAAAGATCTGATGATTATGTTAGACAAAACCCTAATTTCTTACTCTCACAACCAATCTTGGACAACCAATCTTTGGTATGTTTGGGGGTTATTGTCAAGCTGAATAATCGTATAAATGTAAAAAAATTTACATATTCTTGAAAATAACTTTATTTGGTAAATGTATTTATATAAATGATCTTTGATACATTTATTACATTTTATTAAGGTATGTGACGTTTACAACTTTGAAAAACCTACACGTTTTGTTAGCATAAGTACCTATGCGGAAACATTGACTAATCGTCGAACTTGACCTATTACCTCTTAAAATCGTATTGTGAAGACGTGGTAAAATGTCCAATTTTTTCAAATGTCGTAGGAATTAATACATGAAACATAGGATTCATGATATCCCAGATTTAAATCGACTCAAGGCAGAATTTGGTTGTATGCCGATCAAATAGACTTAGAATTATTGGTGAATCATACACATGAAATCGAACCAAATTATATATCTATTAAAGCTATACTTCATAATCACTACTTCTGACAAATGTTCAGAATTTTCAATTTTATTTCCCAGCATGTTCATTATGCACGTACTGACAGACATTTTTTTACTTCTAGGTTATATTCAGTGTGTACGTCTTTAATGTTCTCCCTCAACTCATTAGCATGGTGTTAATGATATTAAACTTCATTAAAGGCCTCCGCATATGTTCTAAAGTTTGTAAATATAAATATGTAACGTTGAGAAATATTTATTAGAGTATGGGGTGAAGTAATTACACATCAGCATTTAGGCATGATTACTACATGACGGCTTCAACAAGCCGTCAAGTGTTCATTCAAACACAAAGGGGCGTAGAACATATCGTCATGTTTTATCTTCGAAAATTCCCATGTTAAGATTAATTTTGTATCCGAAGTCTATTGGAACTATCATCTTTAATTTGAATTTAAAATTTAGTTTTCTTCATAGTTATAGCATTTGATTATTTAATATTTAAACTAAAAAATCATTTCGATTAGGGATTTTTTACAACTTAGATTCCAATAACTTTTGGAATTACAATTTTCTGTAGGGAATTATCTTGGATGCTCTGACTGAAAATTCCGACTTAATGCCGGCATAATTTTGTAGAAGAAAAAAATGAACGTAGTCCGACAACTTTTTCTAAAAACTTTTTAACCATGTTTATATTTTGTTTTATAGAAATAAATGTATACAACGTCAAAGACATTTTTAACAGAATGTAAAATTTATAATTAATTTTAAGGTGTTTTTACCGGGCTGATTCGTCAATACTTTAATGGAATAAATACAACTAATTTATTTGATTTTAACTCAACGTTTCGTTGGTCTTTTTTCATCTTCTTCAGGAAACTAGTTAGAAAATTCTAACGACAAGAAAAACATTTTCTGTTGTTATTGTACATTTTCAAAGGAAGAGATTACTATTTATAAGAAAGTCATATACATATTTTGGAGCTTTAACTCTTCTACGTCGACCAATACACATTTTACTGCATTACTCAGCTCTTAGTATCTTTATCAATATGTCAGTCATTGAACTAAATTGTGATTGCAACGACCCACAGTAGTTAATTTAATATTTCCATTTAGATGACCTGGAAAAATATTCTCCAAATCTGAAAAATGCTGTTATATTTTTTTCGAGATCCAAAAATAACACTTTCTTGTACACTGATATACAAAAACCACATGCCCATCTTATCAGGAGGCAATGCAGGTTCTGTAGCCATGGTCCTCATGTGGTAATTATTCGTCAGGTTAGAAAATCATAGGCAATCCATGCGCGTCATCGAATTGCAATTAAAACGTTTCGTTCGAATTTAATCGGTTAACACCAAACAACTGATGATATTCATAAAATCGTATTAAATTCTTGAACATAAAACGAAAGTAGCAGCAGCAGCTAACTAAAAATGCAATGGTATTATGTCGGTCGTAAATATTTCCAACCTCACATGCGAACCAAAACGACAGACACAGTTTATGGACGCCAATAAAACTTGGCGGGGTTTCTTACATTTCCGACAATTATACATACTCACACATTTATGTGTTTACAACATATTCTGTGTATTCAAGTACATTTAGTGTGTGTGTATGTAGCAAATATGCATTTGTCGATTTGTTTACGTTTCTGCATTTATGGAATATTTATTTTTATGTGTAGGGAGAAGAATTACACCAAAGAACTGAAGCGGCATTTGTGTAGCTGTATAAATATTGAACATTATTGAGTTCAATTGAAATGAAAAAAAAAACTACAAACAACATGGTTGCCATCATTTGATTGAGATATTTCCTTCTGTCGATTTTTCTTTTAAACGAAAATCAATTAAAAATATGAGCGTTACACTTGTATGATGTGTGTTTTGATATATCGACGCCTCTGAACCATAGTATGCTAAGTCGACTTAACATGTTTTAAAGTTCTTTGCGTTTTTAGATACTACGGTCTTTAATTTGCATTCACTGAAAATTTGGTAATCATCACCCAATCCAAACCAATGTTATAAGCAAAAATGTGCTTAGCATGGAATGTACGATTAAAGAAACTTCCATACTTTGAAAGCTTCTACTGAAAAACTCACTTTTCAGACTTAGCATACTATGGTTCGGAGGCGTCGATATGTAGTGTATATAGCGTTTTTTAAGAGACCCTGTGATGATATATAGTTAATTGCCACTATTATTGAAATATATTCTAGTATAACGCATTATAAAAATTATAGTATTAAATTGGAAAGTTCTCCAGTTTAGCAACCTTATGCTACCAGAAAAATTAGTCGTACATATTCATTTTGGAGAACCCCACGTCAATTCTATTACGTTAAAGAGTTTAAATAATTTTCTTCGAATTACAAATCGAGATGAGTCCCAAAACTAAAGAATTTTGTGCTGATTTGCGGGAATCATCCTAAAGATACACAATTTAGGAAAATCTTTGCGTTAAAGAAGATTCCAGAATTACAGCATCCAAAACCAGCGAAATCCTAAGAGTACCTTTCAAACAACACAAACAAATTAAAGAATATACCGTGCCCAAAATAGCAAAAAAAAAAACGATATGTTCGGCCGGGTAAAACTTTTTATACCCTCCACCA